AGGACAATTCTTGGAGCAGAATTTACTTGAACTAACCGAGACAATAACTCACCAGCAAACAACAACTCCCCAGCAACTGCATGCTTGTCAGATTGTTCAATCCCTAAAGCATTACATCACAATTTCTATCTATGCATTATACATTTATCTGTGTGCATTCATCAGAATATTGTCATATCCCTCCGACTCATCATCTATTTCAAATCTTTGTGCTTTCTTATTTGTCCTTTGTTTTTGTAGTTATTAGTGAACAGTGGTATTTTTATTTTTCGTGCATATCACTCTATCTACTCCCTCGCTTCTCAGACTCATTTTTCCAATTCAAGGCGTTTTAAATAAAAAGTCTCATTTCAAAGCTTTTCATACAAAATTCCAATTTTAACCCTCATCCTATTATAAGTAGTTCAGACTTATTTTTCTATTATCCTAGAAAACTATAAAAAGCAAGACTAATAGATAGTATATGATTTTTCACTGGGGGTAGTAGGCAAAAAACAGAAAAGAGATGGTACTAAGAAGATACAAATATTAACTACTAAAAAGATACATATTTTATGATTTTATTAATTCCTAATGTTCCATTTTGAGTGTTAGATTTAGAATAATTAGTCTTTTACATTTTTGTTATCATTAAAATCCTTTTGGTCTAGTAAAAAAATCAACTCTAAGTGTATTTACATAATTACATGTTCACAATTATTGAAATGGTTTCGGCATGGTATAGTACGGCCCCGTTTCAAAACGGAATGGTACCGAACAATTATGGGGTGCATTCTACATCGATGCCGTAATGTTTCAATTTACATTGTCTGTGATAGGTTCTATAGTATCATGCACCATCATAGACTGCGCCTCAAATTTTTCACCTCTTCTTAGAGTCTATTTGATCACTTATATTTTGAGTTTATTAGACAACTTTTTTTATCACACACGTAATTTTTAATTTGCACACTAAGTTGTATAATAATCAAAATAAATAAAATTGAAACTGCTTTTCTTTCACAATTGACTTACTGTAAGGATCGCCATTTAAGAAAATATTCTCAAATTCACTTCCTTAGTAATTGAATTCAAAATCTCCCACAAGAAAACTATCTTAAGTATGAGAGTTGATTCACTTGAATTAATCTCATTTGTCATTGGTCATGCCCTCTTAATCTTGATAGCCATAAATTCCAAGTCTTCAAGACTTTCGATTTGTTTTCTATGTCAATTGCACTATATTTACAAGTTTTTATTGTGCTTAGAGTTAATTCTACTACAATAATGTTTAAATTACCTTTGTCTCCAACTAAATATCCCATTGAGCTATGTACTGATATTTGAAAACTAATATTCTATAGTTTGTCTTCTCTTGGCTAGTTTCCCTCTCAGATGAGACTACAACAAAAATAGATGCTAGTAAATGCAAATACATAATTTTTTTTACTAGGGCACATTTGATTGGATCGAACTAAAAATGGTCAAATCAAATCAAACGGACCAAAACTAAAAAAGTTCACTCCAATATAAGGTATTTGGATGAGAAAGATATGACATAAGTTACACAATTTTGTCCTTAAAAAATGTGATTGTGTTTCTAGGGCTATTATAGCATCTATTCGTCAATTGGATGTCCTTGACTAGATAAAAGTGAAAGAATATGGTTGATTTGGGGTTGGGAATCCATAAAAATAATATTAGGGTATGTGCGTATATGAAAAATAAATTAAGAGCTTACTCTTTTTTAAAATGAAAAAATGAAAACTTAAACCAAAAGTTTAAATAAGATGAGCCATTACAGAAATGGAATCCACAGAGATTATATATCCTTATAATTATTTTAGAGAAAAAGGCAAATTAGCCGCCAGATTATTTGGATTATTTGTGATTCTACAATCAGGCCCTGAATCAAAAGACATGCAAATATACCTTCAACCTTTCAACATATTGAAAATTGAGCAATCGGATCTTTTTTACATGATCGTGCCCTCAAGGATATAACTTTCTCGTGAGAAATCGCAGCCACCGGCAAGTAAATATGATCTAAATACTTAATTTTCAATTTGTTAAAAGTTGTGTTTGCAAGTCTTTTGGTTCAAGGACATTATTGCGGAATCGTTAATAATTTGGAAAGTATTTGTCCATTTCTCACTACTTAATGAGATTGAACATCATGTGAGATAGCACGGCTACACTACACGCACCCAGCCACCCATGATCTAAAGCTTGCTTGTACTTCCAAAATCATTACTATATCGGCTCTGTTAAATATTTAGGTAACAATCTAAAGTGTGGAAATGGAACTAAAAAAGGCATTAACTTTAAGATCTAAACGTCACAGTTCTCTGGCAATTGTTGAACTACTCCACAGCCGTCTCCAGTAAGTCCATTGCAGTCTTGCAGAGAGGACTTGTGGTACGTGGATGTGACCATATTTCCTTGTTATCATACCTCTAAATAAATTAACCCCCAATAGAAGTCAAAGAAAGGAAAGCTCAGAATCAGGAACTAACGATGGATATGGTCTGTCCGAAATTGGAAAAGCTCAGTGTGGAACTTTGACCAAGGAGATTAATGTACTCTCTTAGTCGATTTGAGTGTTTGACCAGGGGCAGAAAAATTACGTGACATTAAATTGTGTGACAATGAAATTAATAATGTGAAAATGGAAATTAAAACCCTCCACTTTTCATGGGGTTCTTTGGGCAGTGTCATCTTATAATAATATGAAAATAACTTGAAAATAACCTCGTCTACGTGCATCAGTACCTCATTAATTGAATTGAGGTCTTAGGTTCATACATAGCAGCGATAACGTGAAAGTTTCATCCAAAATGACGACTCGTTGTGGGTATGAGACCCTAAATCACCACACTTGGATACTGCTTGAGATCATGGTGTCATTCATCCCTCTACAATTCTATTTGGTTAGGTGCGAGGTGCCTCGAGTTGGCAATTCCACCTTTTGAGTTGATGGAAATAGGGGGTGTTTGGAACTGATTATGCTTCTACTTCTTTTTTAAAGCAGAAACAGAAGCAGAAGCAGAATCAGAATCAGTTTTCAGAAGCTGGTACCTACCAGCTTCTAAAAAAACTGATTCTGAGAGTAAATTAGAGCACCGGAAGTGCTTCTGGAATTTCACCCAAACACTCCAGCTTCTTCTTCTACTCCCCGAAGGAGCAGAATCAGTTTTGAGAATCAGATCCAAACACCCCCATAATCTCATCTTTCACATCATTTTCATTATGTGGTCAGTGACTAGTTCACAAGTTATTGTTTCAGATTTTTTCTTTTATAATTCTTTAAACAAAAAATTCCACCTTTCATTGCATCATTTTCATTATGTGGTCACCCACTAGTTCACAAGTTATTGATTCACATTTTTTCTTTTATATAATTCTTTAAACAAAAAATTCTACCTTTCATTGATATCTTCAAAAGTCCAAATAAATCCACATATTACTTTTCTATGGACAAATATAGCTAAGACCATATTTAAATTAGGACAAAAAATGATAATTTAAAAGGGAATAAATTGAATTACTCCTAATATAATCTTATGTTTTCTACTTTGGCCGGTCTGGTCTAGCATCTCAACACTTTCAACCCGATCTACTGTCTCAATAGACAATTGAGAGTCGTCGTTGTCGTTGCCATGTTGTCACATATCCCTCATCGTCGTTTCTTGTTATGCGTCCAGCCGCCATCGCTACCTTGCTATCACGCATCTCGTCGTGGGCTCAGATGCTTCCTTTCATCACCGTCAGCCTCTGCTTTCTTCAAAATGTTCTTTTCTTTTTATTTTCCTTTTCTTCTTCTTATTATTCCTTTTCCGTCATGTTATTTTTTCTTCCCTTTTCACACCATCTTTTTATCTAGTCACTGATCGGTTGGAGGCTTCTATCATTACTCATTATACTCCATATGCTTTTCATCTTGTTTCAACTAATCTCTCTCCATCCTATCTTGCTTATTTTCATAAATAATTCTTAATATATGACAAAAATAACGACAATAGACAAGTTACTTCTTAGTACTTCGTAATTTATAATGACTATGATTATGTGTTAATTTACACCATAGTGATAAAAAAAGAATTTCTTTTATTATGTTATAATAGGCAATATTGAATATTTAGCCTATTCATTATTCAATATCTAATTCTTTTCAGTTTTTCTTTTAAAAATTGATGAGCACCATGACATATATCTTCATTTACTATTAATATCAAATTTAAATTATTCCGAGTATGGTTTACTGAATACATTTTGAACAAATATAGCGTATTTTCATCTATAATGATGGACCTCATCCTAACATTTCAAACAGATCATTTGACGACCATCACAATCAACCTATTGCTTTGACAGAACTCAACATTACTATTTCATAACAACAGGTAATTTAGTCAACATGTCGCCATTCCATTGAAGCTAATATTTTACATGACCAGTGAGCGCTTGTGGACACATAATTGCTAATATGATTCTTAAATCCCAATGAAGCATGTTCTCAATTTCTCATTGACACAAGGCATCATCCTCTATAATCTATACCTCTCGTATTCAGGCTAACTCATTGATATGTTTTCATGTACACAATCTCTAGTTCTCTACACTTATGGCTTATGCTCCAAAATTGGGTTGTCTCCAAAATCTCCATCTCTGAGAGGCATGATTTTATTTGTTATCAGCCGGGGGCAGTTACCTAATACAATTCTAATTAGGCATGGACTTGGGCCGGATGGCCCAACCCGGAACCGGCCCGGCACTATTTGGAACCGGCCCGAACCGGTGGCCCGGACAAGGACCGGTCCGGGTAGGCCCAGCTCGGGCCCCGGGGGCTTTACGGTGCGGGCTCGGGTCACCCAAAAGACGAACCGGCCCGGCCAGGCCCGGTTCCGGGCTTTTTTGTTTTTGAATTTTATTTTGTTTATTCTGGGTTGGGGCTGGGTGTTTTGGGATGTTTTGGGGGGTGGGGGGGGGGGGGGGTCAGGGGTTCAGTAGAAAAGCCAAAAAAAAAACTAAGTAGCCCGAGGCCCGGGCCGGTTCCGGGTCTTCCCCCATTCCTCAAAAGCCCTACCGGGCCTAGGCCCGGCACGGGTCCATGCATATTCTAAATTTTATTTTGTCACGTAATAGGATTCAATATGAGCATATGTATATTCCTGTAGCTTATAATACTTATCTCTAAAGAAAATTGTCAACTGACATATGAATGGCTTTGAATAACAAATACAACCAACTATAATATTCTTTTCTGATGGATTAAAAAAACTATAATATCACCTCTACCAAATTCAAATTAGGTGAAAAACCAGAAAAGTAATAAATTGTATAATTAAGGTTTGTACCGAGGAAACTGAAATGAAAAGAAAATTAGTTATTTTAAAAGGAAAGTGACATAGTTTTTGGGATAACAAAAAAAAGTTGACTTAGTCCTATGGTTAAGAGGGAGTATGACACAAAAATTTAGGCAGACCAAAGTAAGAAAGTGGGTACACATGCTCCAACGGTAGACTGCTTATACCAGAAACGTTCGGGTTCTGGTTTAACACCAGGATGCAAAAAAAAAAAAAGGTAGACTGCCTATATAATAAAAACTGCTCCAAATTTGATTTCCCCCTTTTTTTGATAACTCAACTTTTGGACTCCGCCACCATAATCTTGGGGCATATTTGCAACCCCTCAAGTTTAGACCATGGAAAAATAGGGCCTCATCACATCTGATAGACAATACCATGGCCTTCAAGAGATTCACATCACATTCCTCTTCAACAATCTCTTTCCGTGGTTTGATGACTTCGATAACTTGCTTCCTTGCAGTCTGCTCGCCTCACAATAGCCCTGCCCTTGGAGGGGGCATTGCTCCCCAATTGTTAAATCCTCTCTTATCACTGGACATGAAACCACTTCGTTAGTCTAGTACAAAAAGTTGTTTGTACAGTTCTGTGTAAACACTAAACAGGTTCAACCGCTCAGTACCGCTAAAACATGCACTACAACTGAAAACAAATTCACCACTACAAAGCATTTTGAATGCTCTAATGGAAACCCCATTAAAATAGGCATAAGGGTGATTGCATCCTTAATGTGGAATGGGGGGGGGCAAAGAACAACACCATATTTCTGAAGTTGATAAACACAACAATGTGATCAATTGTGAGTTCGCTTTTCAACACTTGCAATGATGTGTAATAATGCCACATTATCTTCTCTCGGTCCCTAAAAAATTTGCATTGCCAACTTTCCTAATTTAGTTGTTCCAATCCAAAAAGTTATGTCACTTTCCATAACATTTTTTATAGTGTTTATATTCTGTCACTCAGTTTAGTAGTCAATAAACTACTTTGGTTTCAAAAAAGGATTTTTTTTCATGACAGATTTCATTTTATAACAAAAAGCTCATTTTATTGTATATTTTCATGATCATGTGTGTTTCTTCAATTGATAATAAGGGTGCAACCGTGCAAGTATGGGTGAGTCCTTATTCTTTATATTTTTGTGATTTTCTAGGGTTTTCTTAAAGCAATACTACGTAAATACTAAGTCTAAAATGCAAAAAGAAGCTCGGGTTGTCTCCGAAAGCGCTATTTTTAATGTCGATTGCCCAACACAACAACAAAACCCAATTCTCTAACATCTTTCTTGAGATGGTGGTCATTTACTTTGAAACGGCCTTTCTCTGGGTGGTCAATTTCAACAGTACTGTATGAAAAAACTTGGCTCACTACAAAAGGATTAGACCATCTAAGCTTCAACTTTCCTTTGAAAATTTTCAGTCGGGGGTTAAACGACAGGACTTTACCCCCTCGTGAAACTCCTTAACTTGTTTGATATGTCGGTTCTGTGTTTAACGAGGAGCTCTTTATCGAGTTCAGAGTTTTCATAAGCCATAGGCCTCCACTTGTCCACCACATTGAGCTCCTCCTCAACCATTGATTCCTTTCATGTCAGAAAGTTTCCGGGCTAGAGTTTCTCTTTGCTCATCATCATTTTCATCATTTTCATTTACCCCAGTGCCGCAAAGGCACAGAGAGACTGTTTCCGGATGACCCTGTACTAAAGCACATAGAGACTATTTCCGGATGACTCATAATGAAAATCGCGTCCAAAATTGCATGTGCTGACCATTGCTTCATAACAAAGAAGCGCAGACAGTTTAAAGCTTCCCTTGCTCACTAAGTAAATTAAGACATGCTGATTTTTGGGATGACTTGGGATAGCTCAAGCCTGATCCAAGAATAACAGGGACTTTAAGATTCTCATCTAGAAAAGCATGCTCAAAATGGAAGAGAAGAGGTTTTGGACGCAATGAAGGTGTGAGAATTGAAGAATCAATTTGAACATTTTCATTCTCCACTTCATCTAAAGCTTCTTCATCCCATTCACAGATCTAGTATCACCTGAGTCCTCCCCTCCACTAATCATATCACAATCAAAACTAAGGAGGAACTCAAGATCCTTTGCAGACAAACTATCATCCAAAAAGATTAAAGAAGGCTTCATCAGACAATCTGCACGGTTAGAAGAAAAGAAATACTCTGAGAAACTAAAACTAGTAGCTGAAAATAATTTAACCCTTCAAACTGACACCGTCCCCAGCAACAGCGCCAAAAACTGATGTGTCATTTTCTCGCACTTAAAAAGATGTAGTAATATAGAGTTCTAGTACGAGTATCGTCTCCACAGAGACGGAAAAGGGAAATCAGGTATTAAATAAATTCAGCGATAAAATAAAATAAAATATATGTGAATGTGCGAGATTGGGTTTTAGGAAAATTAATTGCAAAAATAAAGCTAAATTAAGGTTTCTTCTTAATTAATGACGGAAGGGAGCATAGGTTTATTCCAGGGGCAACCAGATTTCAGAGCTAATCAGACTTAATCACATGAAAATGAAAATTTTTAATTGAGCAACGCAGGTCAATAATAAGTTCTTACCACTCTCGCGACGTAGAATAGAATAATTTAGAGAAGCATATTGATCTCTCATGCAACAAGTTCCTAAATTATTGCCAAACGAGCGGGCAATTAGTGCGCCCTCTTATTGTTACTAATCTCTTAACAAACGATTTGATATGTATAAAAGTGTCCTACAATAATTTAGAACTCTCTTAAATTACTCTATATGCAATTATAATCCTAGCTGTTATTCTAGGTTACAATAAAACCCTCAAGAACGAAGTCTAGATCATGATTAATACCCCTTTCATCAATTCTCAATCCCTAATTAAACTACTCATATTTCATAATTGACAGATCAACAGAATTGATAAGGAAAGATTAATTAAACCCTCAAGACTCACTATTTTTTGGCTTGGTAATATGATGGAATAAAACAAAACGGCTCTCTAAACTGTCTGTGCTTCTTTGTTATGAAGCAGCAATTAGTTCATGCAATTTTTGACGCGAATTTCACTATGGGTCATCCGAAAAAGTCTCTTTGTGTTATAATACAGGGGTAAAACTGCGTACATCTAACCCCCCCCCCCCTTACCCCACTGTAGGTGGGATCCTTTGCCGCACTGGGGTAATGATGATGATGAATTAAAAGGATTGAACTTACAAATAATCTCATAATCTTGATGTCCAATACCGGAAAAACAAAGAAAATTTCGTTCCTATGGTTTCTCTCTCTAAGCTCGTAATAAAAAACAAATGAAAAAAAGACTAAATTAATAGAAAACAACAAAACTGAACGAAATAAGGTCGCGCACCGCGTTTGACCGACAATGTAGACCTCAGAACGTTTTCAGTAAAATTACTCTGCATGACATGTGGATCATGTCCGCACGACGTGCGGACCTTCCGGAGATCTTCAATTCATCGCGCACGACGTGTAGGGTTGAGCAAAAACCGACCCGACCCGACAAACCCGATTTTTCCCCCAGATAGTATCCGATTGGATATGGATATCCGATCCTACTATCCAAATCCGAAAATTTGGACAAGCTTGGGAGGTTACCGGGTTGCGGGTAGGGTTTATAAAACCCCAACCCAATCCGCCCGAAAATTCAAAATACCAAAACGACGTCGTTTTGGATTGTATATGCATACATACTTATAACTCTTCTAACCGGCCTAACCCTATCCGCCTCTTTCTTCGATCTGTCTTCTACTCTTCACTCTATCTTCTCTCTTCTGTCTTCACTCTTCACTTGTTCAGACTTCAGATCTTACTCTCTTCTCTCGTACTTTGATTTCCTTCTTCAATTACACTTGACTGCTTGAGAGTTGAGACTTGAGAGTTGAGAATCCTATAGTCTTATTTGGTATTTTGGTGGAAGCTCTCACACCTAAAAGACACACGGTCACACTGAAACCCTAATCGTCTAATCGGTGGAAATTGTTCTCCGATCATTCGAAACTCAATCTGGTGAAAGTTCTTAACCTAACTCCCTAAGTCGTAAGTCCTAAGTCCTAATTGTAGTCTATCATATCATCTCTGAGGTATTTATGTCTACGGTTTTGTTGTGAATTTGTTATGTGTTACAGTGTTAATGTAAGGTTTAATTGGTTCGTATAAATGATGTAAATATGTAATTCAGTCATTCTATTGTGGGTTTGTGGGAGCAAATGACCTAGATGATGACTGTATTTGAATGTTTGATAAATTGATAGTATGATGATGTAATGTAATGCATGTTTAATACCCTTATACATTTGACGAGTGATTATGAATCTATGATGATGTTGATGTGTTGATCTTAATAATATGTTGTTGTCTCTAAGTTGTGGTGAAATATGAATCCTTGCTCCTCACTGACTAAGTATCGTATATATGAATTCTGAGTACTAAACTGTGCATATTTGAAATGTGAACTCTGAGTATTGAAAATGTGTCAAAGTTGTATGCTTAATGTTTGAATAATGATGGAGCCTGAGGTTTTTTCTGAATGCTTAAAGTTGTATGCCTAATGTATGATTATGCATTTGTGAATGATGATGGACTAAGGCTTGTTCTGAATTCTTAAAGTTGTATGCCTAATGTTTGATTATGCATATGTGAATGATGATGATTGATGGAGTCTCAGGCTTGTTCTGAATTCTTAAAACTGTTTGCCTAATGTATGATTATGCATATGTGAGTGATGATGAATGACGGAGCCAGAGGGTTGTTCTGAATTCTTAAAGTTGTATGCCTAATGTATGATTATGCATATGTGAATGATGATGGACTGAGGCTTGTCCCAAGTCCGAGACTGAACTAATTTCTGCCTAACTCCTTTATTCCCTCCTTCCCACTCTTATATAGTAATTATTATATTCCAATGGGCTAGCCCATATTTTATGACATGGCCCAATTTTTTTTATACAATACCACACTTACTTAATATCAATCTATTACTACTATTATTATTCTCTACAGCCCAGGGCCCTATCACCCCCCTTACCCCACCATGGGTGGGAGCCCTTTGCAGGACTAGGGTAATGATGATGATGACATATATTCTTTTAATTGGGTCAAACTTATCCTAGAAATCTAGTTCCACCCAACCTAATTTACCTCAAGAATCTGATAATACCAACCAAATTAACAATCTTTATACCCCCTCTATGACTAAACAAAGGCATTGAATCGTCAATTTCACAATTGATACACCTCATCTTAGTGTAAGTTATTATTGAATCTTAAACTTTTAAATCTGTTTATTGTAAAATTGGGTCAAATTTATCCCAGCAATCTGGTCCAACCCAATTTACACTTTGTCACTCTTCATACTCATTGTATGACTTAATAAGATGCATTGAATCATCAAGTCATCAACTTCATAATTAATACCCATGTGTAATTGTCTCTTAAATGTTTTAGATTTTCACAGCAAAAAAATATGTTTTGAATTTTTATGGAACAAGTATGCAATATATGTCCTAAATTTACAAGATTATTTGAGTTATTAATCAGAGTATTAACTATTTTTTTCTATGAGGGACTTGTGTTTTCTCAACGATACCGGGTGGAGCGGGAATTCCCTAAGAAGAAGATTAGACCAAGTAGGAACGACTAATGAACATAGGTCATAGGGGTACTTGGAGTAGTACAAATCGGGCTTCTTGTGAGACTACAAGGATGCTTGTGAGAAACATTTGGTACTCATTTCACCTATTACAAAGCTTACACTCACAATGTGAAGCTGGTAAGAGATGAGTAGTACAAGGTGATTTTTATAAGAGCTAAAGAGGAATTGACTGAGGAAGCTTTACCTGGCATAGTATGATAGTAGTACAAGACTCCAGTACAAAAGCAACAGAAACTGATGCTACTAAACTGAGAATATGTGATTGTTACTAGGGATGGAGAATTGCCTATATGAGGTAATTGGTTAATAATAATTTAATTATGACGTAACTTATTGATAATATTATAATAATTAATATTGTGAAGAAGGAATTAACTCAATCATCATTCCACCTATATGAACCGTAGAGGCATAGACTAGAAAAACTTAATGGGCAGAGGGAGTATTATTTTGTACTAAAAAGGGTTGAATAGAATGAGGATGTTTTTACTTGGACTGTAATTTGCCCCAGACCAGACCAGACCAGACCAGACCAGTTCAGACCAGACCAGACCAGACCAGACTTGGATAGTTATAAAAATACAAAGAAACCAGACCTTACCAGACCAGACCAGACCAGTTCAGACCAGACCAGACCAGATCAGACCAGACCAGACCAGCAAATTACAGTCCAAGTAAAAACATCCTGAGTCAAACGTAATTTTTCATGTAACAGTGGAAGCATTATTAACCTAACTGAGAATATAGCATTGAGCCAGGGACGTATCACAAAGCTGCCAAAAGAGGCTTACAGTTGTGTCTCAAATAACCCAACTGAGAATATAGCATTAGAAATGTTTTAGTGAGTAATCTATCAAATAAACTTCTTTGATACTTTAGTTGTGTCTCAGTTCCCGTTAGATAATTTAAAATGACATTTGTAAACTCACTTTGGGGTGTGGCAGGCATAATTTGCTCGTAGTATGTTTTATAAGCAAAATCAAATGATATGTTCCTTGCATTTTACATTTATCGTGTAGTCATCTTTACTCTTTGAAAATGTCACCACCACCATCACCTAAATCTCATGTAATTAGGGATGGTGGGAAGATATATTAATAATGTCAATCAGGGCCGGTCCTGACCATTTCTGGGCTTATGGGCGGTACGCTATTCTGGGCCTATCACCGTATACTTATTTGAAATAAGAATTATAATAAAAATGTCCAATGAAGTTCATAAAATAAAGTCAAAAATCACTTTATTATTATTATTATTATTTAAGTTACAGATTTGGGCAAAAGTAACACAAGTATCGGATAAAAAGAAAAAACATCGGTAAAAAACATTTCTCGTAGAACAATATGAAGCAAATAATCAATAATAGCTTCATAGGCGACCTTCTTTCTATTAATACATGACAAACAATAAAATTGCCACATATAACAACACTAAACTTTTTTTTGAAAGGAAATATGAAACAAATGTCACTACATATTGAATTCATGAGAATGATTTATTGACCGTTGATGGGAGTCTAAAGTTTAAAGTCTCAAAAGAATGAAGGGTTTCAAAGAGACAAAATGTATGGCCGCCAAGAACACTCTCGCAAGAAGACTGCCAATTTGACGTCCTCTAAACTACTATTAGGAACTCAGATATAGTTTATTGAAATTTGGAAACAAATAAATAATTGGGATGAGATTTGAGAGAGATGGGCTCTAAAATAATTATATAAATTTGTTATGTTATAATTAAATGAATAAAAAGCCTTAAAGGCTAAAGAGATGTAAAGACTACAACAGATCCTACTTAAAATTAATGTATATATTCTTTTTTTGATGGAGCAACAATTGTATTGCTTTTAAAAACTATAACTGATCCTACTTAATATTAATGTACATATTCTTTTTTTAAACTTGACTCTGTTTAAACAATTTTATTTACATTTTAAATTTTCAAATTGCCAATAAAATTAAACATTAGGCCTAATTAACTGACCTTAAGAATTAAAAAAAGAAGCCTACTAACACTATACATAAAGAAAAAAAATTGGGCCTATTTTTTCTTCTATTTTTTGCCGGGCCTAGGGCGGTCGCCCCTCTTGCCCTCCCCCCAGAACCGGCCCTGATGTCAATTAATTGTACACAAGAAGTTAACAGTGTCAGTTCATGTGGAAATACAAAATTAGTAAACAAGTTATGGAATTCTGGCCATTGTTCTATCAGATAAGAGAAATAAAATGTGAAAAGGAAGAAATAATGCAACAATAAACTAACTGAAGTGACTTGTTTTATCAACTGACGTGGTTATTATTAAGAGAACATGAGAGAGAGAAACATTACTTATGTGCACCCTAGCTGATATTAGGATATACCATTAAATCATTAATAACAACGGTCAGCTCATATTCACTCATTACATCAGTTTTTATCTATTACAGAGTATTTTTAGTTAGTGCTAAGTAATGGTAGCCTAACAAATGTTTTGTAAAAGGAGAAATCTGCATGACTGAACATTGTTCATACTTTTTGTAATTTGGAAACACATTTTCTTTCTATCGCTAAACAAAGTATGGAGCACTTAGTAATCAATAGTATTCTGGCATATTACTACTATTACAATTTCTTGAGGTTAGTCTTATTCTATTGAATTGGCTGCAACATTGTGTAAATCGATCATATTCACATCAAGCATAACAATTCAAGCATTATTATAACTCCAAATATAAAATCAAGAAAAATTATCAGACTTCAAAATAGCATATGAGAGACAAGACTTACAACAACTGTCAGTTGTCCACCAGCTGCAACTTCATATCTAAAACCCTCTCACAGAATTCTCCATCACTGACCTTCAACATTTCCACCAATGAGAGTGAGAATCCGTACTTCAGTAAAAGCCTATGGCGTGGCTTTATTTTACGCTCCAAACTAAACGAAAAGAATTGAGGAAAGACCTTCAGCTCCTCCAAATCTCCATTCATTTCCTTCAGAAAGTAATCAACTTTCGGCATATAATTCTTATCTATACTAAGAGTTAACAGTCCAGGACACCTAAGAACCATATTCACAACCTCAATGTAAGTGAACCCTAATCCCATCAAGTATTCAATTTTAGGTTTCAGAGTGAGCTCAACGCTGGAAACAAGCAGCATGGAGTTCTGGGAAGTGATCTTATATGGACCCGCGAACCCGAACTCCTCCAAGAACCGCAATGTGGGTCTCAATCGGGTCTCCAAACTGGAAACCAAGAGCCTAGGGCAACGCACGATAGACAGGCTGATATCGGGGAAGGGGATGCTGACATCATTCAGGAGAAAATCGAAGATAGGGTATATGTCGGCGTAAGGGTCTGAGGTGAGGAGACTGGGGTGCATGTCGAGAATGCGGCCTAGGGCGGAACGCTGGATACCCATTGAGCAGAGGCAATTTTCTACTGATTTTAGGGAAGCTAGAGGGGCAGATCGTAAATCTGGGTTCTGATTGAGGGCCTTCAATGGATTTACTCTTAGTTCTCGGAGGTAGAGAATCTTTTGCTGGAATTTGATGCCGGAGTTAGTGCTGGGTGCGGCGGCGAGGCGAACGGGTGCCGGATTGGCTTCAAGGGGCTTAGGTGAGGCTCTTGGAGTCAAAGAAGAATGCCAAGCTAGAGTCTTTGGCAGGGTTTGTAACTGGATAAGCATGATTTTGAACCGCACTGGAAAGACAGCGATGGCGCCGTAGAGGCAAGCGGGCAATGGAGGGACTAGGATTTTCCGATTTTGTATGGTCGGTACGCGGCAAAAATCTACTTCGAGGAATGGTAAAATTTCTTGTGGATCCACATGAATCTGGACGGAGGAAATAGTTGCAAAAAATTGTACCGAGAAGCTGTTCCGTTCATCTTAATCTTATTACTTATTCCTTAATCTTATTTTATTCAGATCAGATCAGATCAGAAAGATTCAGATCAGATCAGATCAGATTAGAAAGATTCAGATCAGATCAGAAACATTCAGATCAGAAACATTCAGATCAGATCAGAAAGATTCAGATCAGATCAGCAACATTCAGATCAGATCAGAAAGATTCAGACCAGATCAGACCAGATCAGAAACATTCAGATCAGATCAGAAACATTCAGATCAGATCAGATCAGATCAAAAAATTCAAACATGATTTATCACTTTTATTAATATATTAATTATGATTATTATATTATAATTATTGTTAATAATATTAATATATTAATATAATAATATTATTAATAATATAATAATAATAATGTTAATAATATAAAATTATTATTATAATACGATAGTATAATATAATATAATATAATATAATATAATATAATATAATATAATATAATATAATATAATATAATATAATATAATATAATATAATATAATATAATATAATATAATATAATATAATATAATATAATATAATATAATATAATATAATATAATATAATATAATATAATATAATATAATATAATATAATATAATATAATATAATATAATATAATATAATATAATATAATATAATATAATATAATATAATATAATATATTTATAATTATAATTATAATTAAGATTTACAATGTAATTATAATTATAATCATCATTATTATTAATATGATTGTTGTTCTTGTTGTTATTGTTGTAATTATTATTACTTCGGAGTAATTATATATTTAAATTAGTAATTATAGATATAATTATGATTATAGAAATAAATATTATAATTATAATTACAATAATAATTATAAAATTAATCATAATTAAAAATATAATTACATTTATAATTGTATCTGTACTTATAATTAGTGTAATTAGTATAATTATTATAATTTTAAATTTAATTTTAATTATTATTTTTTTATAATTATGATTATAATTGTAATTTTATTTAAGTTATATTTTTAATTACAATTATAAATCTAATAATTATAATTATAATTACAATTATAGAAATATTCAAATCAGATCAGAAAGATTCAGATCAGAAGAATTCAGATCAGATCAGAAACTTTCAGATCAGATCAGAAACATTCAGATCAGATCAGATCAGATCAGCAACATTCAGATCAGTTCAGCAACATTCAGATCAGATCAGAAAGATTCAGATCAGATCAGAAAGATTCAGATCAGATCAGATCAGATCAGATCAGAAAAATTCAGATCAGATCAGATCAGAACTTAAAAAATTCAGATCAGAAACATTCAGATCAGGTGAACGGAACAGCTTCTGAGTATGAAAGTTGCTTGAGGAAGTGTTTGAAACTGATTCTGCTTCTTTTTCAAAGCAGAAACAGAATCAGAATCCGTTTTTTTAGAAGTTGGGAATTCTCAGCTTCTGAAAAGTGGGAGTAAAAAAATGCACTAAGTTTAAGAATCAAACACAAAGTCTGTTTCTTCACATAAAGTGCATTTCCCAACTTAGTAAATGCACTTCATGTGAATGTAATTGAGAAAAAACTTAAACACTTTCATCCAAACACTCCAGCTTCTGTTTCTACTCCCTCAGGAAGCAGAAACAGTTTTAAGAATCAGATTCAAACACCCCGTTAGTGAATTGAGTTAAGTTTAACCACGAGAAAATAGCAAGTAGGTGAGTGACTTTGGGTTTAATACTTCATGTGAATGTAATTGAGAAAAAACTTAAACACGATTAAAAGAATATGATACGTTTTAAGACAATAAATGATTGTCTCAAAGACGAACATTATTGATTGCTACTTTAGAGCGAGGCAGGAGGGAGGAGGGAGGGGTAAATCCATCCGGGATCCTACGCGGTAGGGCTGCACATCGGGCGGGTTGGGTCGGGTTTGCTATATTTTTTGGGCCTACCCAATTTATTCGGGTTGACTATTTACCAACCTGCGGTATAAAATATAAGTTGGTAAACTATGCATGAACGGGTCGGGTAGGGTCGGGTATTGAAAGGAATTAATTTCGGGTTGAAACTTTAATATGAGCAACTAATGCACGCAATATGAATCTCGGTTAACTAGTTTCCAAAATACACAAACAAATATAAGTATTTTTTATAAAAGTAAACTTAGAGCAATAGTATCAAAACATTCTTGCGTAAAGGAAATTAATTTAGAAGTGTGCGTGCGTGCGTGTGCGTGCGTGCGTGTGAGGGTGCGGGTGTGTGTGCGGGTGCGGGTGCGTGCGTTAATCACCTAGTCAAAATGGTAAATGTTTATAATGCTAAAATCATAGTCTTAGATAGAGCACATCAGTCTTAAATATAACTTATCCAACTAAACTTTGTAGCATAATAATAACAAATTGAACTTTCGGTCGGGTCGGGAACTACCGGGTTTGAGATTTTTAATTCCGCAACCCTACCCATTAGGTGTGGGTTCGTACATATTTAACCCGTGAATATTTTTAAAAATCAAATACCCGATTAAAAGTGATCGGGTAGGGTTGGGTCGGGCGGGTTATGCGGGTTGGGGTTATTCTTGTGGAGCCGTACTACGCGGTGGTGTAGAGATATGCAACGAGGAGGCTTGATGGAAGAGACATGCGGTGAACGTCAGAACTCGAACAGTCTGTGGAAGTGTAGTGACACAAGGCCAAAGAGAAACTTTAACTTGTGGAATACTGACGACCCAAAATAGCATAGGGTGGAAGGATTATACATTTATACACACCTTTAGAGCCGGTGAGACAAAAAAAACGAATTTGGAGAGGAATATATAGATTGGAATATCCTCACTAGTCTCTAGGTTTGGACACTCAGTAATGTCTTTCCAATTGCCCTTCCCATCTGATTTTGGGAAGGCAAAACGAGGGAACTAGCTACTAGGGATATTTTCTTTTGGACTAAAATTTGCCGGTCTGGTGTGATCTGATTTGGTCTGTTTAAGTCTGGTCTGGTCTGGTAAACGTCTAGTCTCTGTGTATTTTTTAACTATCCAAGTCTGATCTGGTCTGGTCTGTTTAAGTATGGTCTGGTCTGTTTAAGTCTGGTCTGGTCTGTTTAAGTCTGGTCTGGTCTGGTCTGGTCTGGTCTGGTCTGAGACTGAAAACAGTCCAAAAAAAACATCCTAGGTACGGAACCATCTACTTCCTTACTAATAAAGCACAACCTTGTAATTGAAATTGAATTATCAATTAATTGCTATTGAGTACAATTAATAAATTGCTATTGAGTATAATTGATAAATTAAGTAATTGCTATCAAGTACAAAATCAATGTAGCCATTAATATAGCTTACGTTTATTAGATTCCATACTTAAGTCATCCATGATTTTTTTAATGAAATCCTGCAATTTTCTTAATAATGAAATACTTCATAATATTTTGTTGAAACTAACGTTTATTACATTCCATATTTAAAATATGTCAATAATTCATTTTCTCTTACGAATGCCATTCATACATCTTTGGTCAGATCTTTGAAAAAAAATTCAATTTTTATACGTCTTTGGTCAATTTATATATAAAACTTATTTGTTCACTCATCAAATAAGATGTTTCAATTTTATCCTTTCATTAGAACTAAACTATTTTTGTGAATAAACCCTATTTTGTGAATGAACCTATTTATTGGTAGTCCGTGTGATGTACGGACTACCAATAATATGCGATAATCATGAGTTCGATTCTAATGTACTCCGTACAAATTTTCTTGAAAAAGCAATTCAAGTAATTTCATTTCATATTCATACATATTTATGCATGTGTAAAGTATGTAGTATAAATTTTTTAATGCTGCAATATTAAATTGGGTTTAATCGTGAAAATTATTTTATTTTAAAAAATAAAAAATATAAAAGAATAAATTGAATTAAAAAAATGGATTTTATATTTATGTAGCAATTTAAAAAAATATGATTACTTTTCTTATAAGATACCCAATAAAAATAATAGTTTCTGTTGAAAATATGCGAGAAAATGTTGGTTTATTAAAAACACAAGAGGTAATGATTAAAAGTAAATGATATATTTATTTCATTTTATTTTCAAAATTGACATTTTACCTTTACTAATAAAATTTCCTTACAAATGACACTTAAAACTACAGAGACGCTTAAAACTGCAGAGGTATTTAAAAATTCGAATTGAGATTTTTAGATTAAAGAATTGATAATTTGATATAATACTAATAAAGAATAATATAATAAGTAAATTGCGAGTACATACACATTTTTTGATTCTTCAATGCAAATTAAATATAAATCATATTTATCTATAATTTTATATCTTCCATAAAAGTATGTGATAAGTATTATATACTAAATGTGTATGTACTTAGGATAAGGATAAATAATAAATAATTTGTATTTTTTACATTCTCCATATTCATTTCACATATGGATTATCGAGATAAGTAATTGAATTAGTAGTGATCAAATGTATAATATAATAAGTTAATTATGAATACATACATATGGTGAGATTCTTGAATTAAATATAAAACATATTTACCGTTATTGTTTTGTTCTCCATATTATTCTAGGATTGATACTTTCTGCCGAATGTATGTGCATGCATTGGCGAAACGAAAAATAAATAGATTTATTTATTTTTAAATTTTGAATCCGGTTTTCTAATGAATATGTATACATTGTGTAATAAAATAGTTTAACACATCTATTCGTATGTACAAGAGGGCCCATATTACATACACAAAAATATGATAAGAATAAATGTCCTACAAACTAATACCTTAAGGAATTGTAAGGGATGTTTTTTTTTATATTTGTTCCATGACTATTTTTAGTATATGAAACAAATACTCGCTCCAGCCCGAAATGAATTGCAAATCTGACTTTTTCTTGGGTCAAACAGCTCCAT